CGACCCAGAAATGGATTAAGGGGAAGAAAATGGATGGATGGATGGATGAATTACATTGTGCATAGTTACAAGAACAAAATAACTTTTTTTTCTCCACCTTTGTACCCTTACATGGTACAAAGCACTGGGTATCTTTTAAAAAAAATTGGGGTGTATTCAACTGTTTAAATCTTTCAAAATAAGCTGTTTGTTCCATCTGCATTGTACTTTTATTACTGCTCAAATAACATGGTAATGTAATCTCAAAAATGTACTTATTGAACTATTATATCATATAATGTATTAGAATATATTGTGTTCTTTGATGAAATAAAGACTATTGTATACATAGGCATCTCTCTATGCCGCCAGTGTATTCCAAAGTCATTCAGTCTAATCAAATGTAATATATTGTTAATTCTTCTGCAAAACAGCCCATTCGTAATTGTTGATAGTAGATCAAATGGACATCCATACACACATAATTATTGTAGATAGAGTTGTGAAATCACGGAACAAATCAACCATTTCTTAGTTTTATTACACCCCTTTTCCATCCTCTCCCGCTCCCCTTTAGATTTATGTTTGCCACAGAGACAAGAGTCTTTAATTTTACGCCTGGGTAGACCATATACACTATTGCCTCATACTCCTCATGCTTATATTGAATCTTTTCGATCCTTAGGGGGAGACATTTTTAATATGAACGCAGAGGCACCCCACCCGTATACACTATAACAATGATGGCATTTCCTGTTGTCTTATGGCACGATCGGTTGCTTGTTGCATAATTACAATGGGTGATGTATGGAAAAGCCGCAAAGAAGGCACACTCGAAGTCATCCTAATTATATGCAGCGGGTTCGTGAGTAATGGGGTTGACACGAGACATCAATACAACCACAGCTTCTCATAATAGAAAAGACTTTTGTTGCACTGTGAGAAAATGGTTAGCATCTATCAAGTGCAGCGTACAAACACTGAGGCAGAGATGGAAAACTCCCAATCATTTCTCACAATTTTTGAGAAGTGTTTGTCTGTTTGGTCAGTTGTCGAAGTTTTTCTGCTCTCTAGGTCATCTACTAAAAGTTTTTGAATGCAATCTCGATTTTCTTTTTTTCATTTTTTTTTTACGTTTTATTAATTACCTCCCCCCAAAGGGACCTGTGTGTGTTTGTTTGTAAGCAGCATATCTGAAAAACATGCATTTTATTTTGTTTTGTTGAGCACTTTGAGTTGCCTTGTGTATGAACTGTGTGTATGAACTGTGTGAACTGTGTAAACTTTCCTTGCCTTACTGGTACACCTGTACCTGAAAACATGTAACCATCATTCTATAGTTCATGCTGTAGCCGGGAAATCACATTTTTGTTTTAGTCCTAAATGATCAGCTATGTGGAAATATAAAACAGCTTCCAAATATTTGTTGGAGCAATGTTTTGTTGTCTCTGCATTTTACCTGTTTTATTGAATAATGGCTTTATCTGCAGTTTATTCCGCTCTGGGGTTATTTTGTGTCTGGCATAAGTTAGTTTTAGTATGATCATTTATTGCAATATATAATTATGTAGCAATAGATTTCATAACGTGCCTATATTTTTACAATTGCATATAATTACAAGATGGAAATTAAATGTTGTGAACTTCACCCTGCTGCTGACCCAGGCCAGTTCTGGAAAACTGAAGTTGGGAGGGCAGATTAAAATTTAGGTGGGCAGTTATACAAGAATAGTTATGGTCTATAACGTTTCTTGATTGGAATAATTCATGAGCATACATTGAATATTCTGCCAGTTTTTAATCAAACAGCTCAAATGTTATGATATAAAAAATGAAGAATTGGTGTGATATCTAAACTCCACATACTTTCTCCTCTTTTTTGACTGTCCACTCCTTAATCATAGAATGTAGAAGTACGGGATTTACCCAGTGCCGAAGAAGAAGCCAATCAGAGCTAGCAATAAAAACAACAGGATTTGTTTTGCCAAATCCATGCAAATTTATGGATAGCAACAACTGAGCAACCAAGAGCCAATAAGGGACAGAAAGCACCTGATTGGTCAATAGTTTGGGCTCATTACCCGATATACAAAGACAATATCATGAAAATAAAAATACCAGAACACCACAGAGAGTACCAAACTTTGGCCTATTTTACTATTTTAAGGCCAAAATAGTAAATTTGACACAGAGCAAGAATAGTTTTCAATGTGTGTGAACGGGAGAAAGATGGAAAACTTCCCTATTGAGCTTCATTGAGCTACCAGTTTAGCATTGTCCATAAAGAAAAAAAAAAAATCTTTATAATGAGGTCTATAAAACAAAGTCCAAGGATTCTCCCTATAGTGACCTCACCGGTGCTTCTAACTTGTTTTTAGTTGCACCTCTTTACCCTGTGTTCTGGACTCATTGATCCCTGTATTGTTGACCAGTGCTGTGTGAATTATGTATACACCGTTTCCAGGAGAGGGGAGGCACGATGTGAGTGAGTGCTGCACCTCGCTTGTTTCTCTCCTTTGCTATGCTCTGTTGCTGCGGGCCATTCCCCACACATTATTTCACACATAATACCTCTAAACATGTATCAAGAATGCTGTATGTGATGGGATTATATGGTACTGTTGGATCAATGGTCTGTCAAATTGTCTGCAGGTGATGTTGTATTGTGCTGTGATCAAATTGAATGCAGTTTACATGTCCCTCCGGTTACGGGAGAAATGGAGGGAAAAACGCAAAACGCACAGAGCTATTACAGATAAAATACAAATATCTCATGTACAAATAAAAGTGATTCAAGCAGTTATTTATATTCACAAGAATCAAGATCAAGACATTTCCCATTGTACACATCGATAGTTCTTTATATGCATTCTAGTGCAAAGAAAAAAGTCGATTAAGCTTTGAGCAGCTGGCCACATAGCCTAAAGTGGCAGGCAGATTGACATTGCTTTAGGTTTTATACAATTCAACGCCCTGTGACCCAGCAACAAATAAAGCGGAAGAAAATGGATGGATGATTATTCATGCGTGTCATAGATCAAGCCGTCACTGTTGTTTTTACTTGCCTGACCAGCCAGAACCACAGAATTGTCCACTACATGAGCCTTGTATGGTCAAATTTAATTCTGAAATTTCCCCACTGTGGGACGAATAAAGAATCTCTTAACTAGCAGCAGAAAAAACTAAAAGCCTTTGAATAACCTATTTAGGTCTATTTCTCACAGTAAGTAGATTAACTCATGAACTCATACAATCTATACAAAAACAAGATATCACATCATGGGACCGCAATCATTTAGGATATTTGTGCAAAGAGAGTTCTGTGTTCTCAATTCTTGATTGGTCACCTTTTTCATTGTCCGAAGAATCGAGAACCAATCCAGTCCCAGATGGTTTTGCATTTGACCATGCATATCAGAACATAGAAAGGCTGAGGAGATAGTAGTTTTTTCCTTGAGAACAAACATAGATTGCTTCACGTTTTTTAACAATATTTTACAATCAACTTTGTCCGATAGTCAATCTGACAAAACATTTTAATTACACATTTTTCACTCTATTTCTACTTGTGTAAGATTCTTTCTTTGAAGTGGTAAACAAAAAATATCGGCCTTTTCACACTTGTCTCTGAAATTTCTAAGTTTGAGCATTGAGCTGCATATGAAAAAGTCCATCAAAAAAGCGTATTGTCACAGATTCGCTCCTAACGTGATTTTTCCTGCCATATCGCACAGTTCTCACTGTGAAATGTACTCATAAGGCCTGCAAATGGTCACATCAAAATGTGCTCTTAACAAGCACTGTGTAGGATGTCCATATTTTGCTGCAGAGCTGGCCCACTCAAGTGTTAAGATATTGCTCATTGCCTCCTGTAGTGTCTAATAGTCCCAATTACTGCAGAGCTCAGTCTCAACGCTCTCCTCGCCGGTTCTGTCCGCCACTCTGTGCACCGTGGTGTGGTTAATGAACTTGTTTTCGTCATATATTTCCAAGCGTTTTGAATGGAGACAAACCAAAGGCCAAACTGATTGAGGACAGTATCTCCCCTCACGCGGACACGGACTGTGACCCTTGATAGAGGAGGCTGTGTCCAGTTTTCTCCGAACATAATTAAGTCCACAATGAGACAAGGCCAAGCTGTACTTCTATAAAGCCACAGCTGTAGAGGGATTATGCTGATGTAATAATGTATGTGTTAGCAAGGTGTGTGGTACCAAATATTTTTTTGGGGCCAAAGGTTTTGCTTTTGGTATGCATAATTTTCTTACTGAAAGCTTGAAGCTTGCAAACATTGGGAAATTTAGTGGGAAACTCAATGGGAACTGTAGAAATAGTTCTCAAGATAACTTGCTTTAAATGTATGTGCAACATGCCATAATAGCACATATTAAACTCCTAAAGGCCAATCAGTCAGTTTCGTTTCACATGTACAGCTTGGCCTTGTCTTTACATTTTTCAAATGCAAAAAGAGTATTTTAGAATGCAGTGCAAGTTCAACCCAAATTGGACCTAATAATTTCTGATCCTTGATTGACAGCTCAGGGCCTTAATCATTGGTCTAACCTTTCGCTTCCAGCAAATTTCACCGGTGGTTATGTCATGATAATTGAAAATCCTATTGGGCTAAAACCTGTGTGTTTGCCCTGCCTGGCATAGGTTGCACACTTAATGTATATTGAGCTTTTTATGTGTTCCATCATGTCTCAAAAGGTCTGTATGATTTCCTATCCATCCAGACAGGAGAGGACCAGAGAATACTATTACTGACTTTGAGGCTCAAGAGGTCGTCAGAGGAGCTGCAGGATAAACAAGCAATCATGACTTAAAGCGAGTTCATATAAGGGTTTATATTGGAGTGGCTGTTGCTGTTCACACAAGTAGAAGAAGAGCTATTATTCACACTGCCCCCCATATTCTCAACCTATTACTACCATCTGTCTCCATTATGACAAATGACAGTCCAGCGAATACTCTGCTCCCTATGAATCTACTTAATGCTCTATTTTTTTTCTCCCTTCCAGGATCAAGACGCCGTGCCGCTTCTGAGATGTGATGCTTCAGGACTTTACTTGGGCACTGAAAGAACACGATTTGAGGTATATTGCCCTCTAACATGAAAAGTGTTGACTCAGAAAGTATTATTATTTTGGAATAGACACGCAATACACCTGGAGTGGGTTGTTTTTGTAGACATAGAGTGTGTACGTGTAGTATTTTAAACTGGGGTAGTACGTGACCCATAGTCGTCTCTAGAGATTGTGGCGGTTCCATCTGGTGCCAGGGAGTGGTGTAATTGGCCTGACAAACGTGTGCCTGCAAACGGCGCATCCAATCAGAGCTGACTGACTACGCTTGGAGATATGGCTAACAGTACAGGTGGGGAAAAAAGGTTAAAACACGATGCAAAGTCTACAACAGGGGGACACCTAACTTTTTTCTCATAAAGATTACATTGTTTTTGTCTCACCAGAAATAGTAAAATGTTGTGACCAAATCAGACAGGATGCCTTTACCTTGTTAGAAAACATGTTATCTTTTGCATACGTGTAAGAAAGATCCCTGCAAAGGATTAATGCAAGCTTTAATGTGAGCTTTAATGCTGTAGAAAACACATTATTTATCACACACACACACACACACACACACACACACACACACACACACACACAGCATATCTTGTTCTATTGTTTTTTTCAGATTATTAATGTAATTGTTCTTCAGAAGACATTTGAGGTGAGATTGCAATTAAAAATTAGATTGATCGAGGATTAATCACAAGCACCAAAAACCCGCCTTTACACACCGAGGGATCTGTGTTAGCTCGTAAGAACAACTCGTCTTGGCGTGAGAAGTCGGAACAACACGACCAAAAACTAGTTGTAATTTAGACCGGACCGGCTTATAGCTCATTGCTTAAATGTTGGATGATGAAGGTTATAAGATCATACGAGGGACAATACTTGCATAACAAGTTGCTGTGGCCTGTCCTGCTCCCTCCAGCGGCGACGCCATCTCGGCTGCTGTGATTTTATTTCTCTTGATGTACTTTATTTGTTTTGTTTGTATGGTTGGAAGTATTTCTGCTGCTACTGGACACCTGAATTTCTCCTATGGGGATCAATAAAGTATCTATACTTTTCTATAACAAGAATGAAGTTCTTTCTATCAAAGGTTTTTGCATGCTTTCTTTTACAAAGTTGTCCTTGTAAGAATAGGTTTTCTTATGATTATCCATGTTGATGATAAGCTTACTGGAGTCTGTTATAATGTGATTCCCTGGGGTCCTGGCTGTACTGTTCGCTTTGACAAATTCCTGTGTTGCCTGTGGTGAAAAGCCAAAAAAACCCTGTTGTCCCTGGTCAATAAGCCACTTCAACATGTGTCAAAAAACATGGGGCTGAAGTGGAGAAAAGCCTTCTGATTCCAACTGGTGCCCTAAAATGTTTGCTTTTCTAAATCACATCACAAAGCAGTACAATGCACTGGACAAGAAACATCAATTATTTCCAATTTGCCCTGTCTCTGTCCCATGAAGGCATCAGCATTAGTTTAACTGTGATGCCAGACCTTCCTCTGGCCATAAAGCCATTCACCACAACTTATTTACAGTGTATTTACAAGCTGAGTTGGGCCTGTAAAATGTCGGATTTACGAGTGCCTTAGAAATTAGAAATACTGTCTCCTAGAGTCGGGCTGATGAATTGCACATTGAGATTATTGACGGCAGATGAGGGTGCAGTTTTCATGTTATCGACAACTAGAGTGAGCGACTCGTGCCTGACATCGCTGTGGAGAAATATATTCAGTATTATTCTTGTGTGGAAACCTGGAGGCCATGTTTTCAGTGGATTCCTCTTCTGTATTGATTGAATGAATAGACACTTGTGGAGAGTCTTTCACAAGTCACATTCCACTGAAAGTAGTTAAGCTAGTTAAGTTCAATATAAGATCAACTTCAACATAAGCAAAACAAACATAAGATTACAATGTCCTTTTTGTTATGCAGGGTCCACTACTTGTTTGTTCCCAATGAAATGTTATTGCATTGCCTGGATTAATTGGAACGTCTCTATTTCAAAGTAGACCGAATAAACTGAAGAAAAATTGATTGAAGACTATTAAGTTAATTAAGGTTGCCCCAAAATAGAGTTGCAAGAATCATACCTGGAAGAAGATTATGGGGAAAAATTCTAAACTCAAACACTTGACAAAATACTATCCATGTATACCTCTCCACTATTCCTGTGTTCGAACTGTTTGATTCTCTGATCTGTTGTTGGCACATCGACAACTTTATAAAGTTCTTCAAGATGACTGCTGTTCATGGCTTTAGAAATTGTAAATTGAAGTAAATCGAATCCTATCAATTTGGAAAATCACTTGCTCACAGTATGTTTGTCCCATTTTCCCTGTTGTGCCGTATGATTCTGATCATATGTCTTGAAATCCAACTCAGTGAATGCATGTTGTCCTGTTTCTGCTGGAACAATAAGTGAAAAGGAGGCAGATGTATCAGTCTTCATAAGCTGGATGTCAGCGCTGGTGTATAACAGGTGTTTCCCGTTGCACTCGCATACACTGCCTTCATTACGCGATACGCTAATGAGAGCACAGATTGGATCACAATGCCACCCATATCAGTTTCATCAACCAAACAAAGATCCGATGTAACACAAGCAACAAAAAGAATATAGGTCACAAAGGCATGGGAAGGAGAGCAGTAGTATTGTGTTGAGAGGTACGTGTGTAAGATTACTATGGGAACTGGTCAGCAATTCAGATGTGGCAATTGATCCAGCCAGACATATTACATCCATTTCTGTAGTGGAGCATCTTCAAAAATAGTTCGGTGTTCCCTCTTTATATCTATCAATCACGCAGATTGATGGTTATAGTCAGTTCTTCTCAGGTTAAGAAACGGGAGTACAAAACAAATGTGTATGCTTATATAGTATCTGTAGTTTCTTAAATCTGTAATTTGACGTATCTGCTATCTTTACACTATGAGTAGACAGATATGATACTGATTACTGAAACACTAATCACGTTTCATGAATCTAGAATAATAGTTAACTGCTCTATACAGTCAAACCATGTGATACACATGATTTTAAGACAAGGCAGTAAATATAATCTATATAAGTGTTCTCTTTCATATTAACTTTTTACTGCATACTATTTAGAAAATTGGATTGATTATTTGGAAAAACAATGTTAGCTGAATTGATTATTCAAAACATTGGTTACTGAAATCCCAATCTCTATGCTGAATATGTGGTGTAGTTTTCTTTTGGAACTTGCTCTGCGATTGATCACTCCTGCACAAATGAGGGATTACGCTGCTTTGTCTCCAAGATGAGGTCAGTGATCTATAGTTCCTTCTGCATTTTTACTGATTATTGTCATAATTTGACCTTTGCTTCCTGTGCAAGGCCCTTTGTCCTGGAACAATAGTGTGCATATTGTAAAGCATGGTCAATGACCATGCTGGTCACAGGGCCCAAGTTTAAGGCCTTGAGTCACCCTGTGTGTGTGTAAGTGTATGTGTGTGTGCTGTGTCTTTCTCTCCTCTGTTTGTGTGCATGGGGCAGAAGCTTGTTCTCCAGCATCAGCAGATGGGCTCATTGCAATTAGACAGAGCTGTTTCCCTTGTGTGGGTCCATGTTCACGCTCACACATTCACATAGACTTACACAGAAGGCCTAGGCACAAAGCAGATGCCCGTGAAACACTAGGCCTGACACATACTGTAAAGCAGGAGGAAAGATATGGAATTTATAGAATAAAGTCTGAAAGTACACCTGCTTTAGTCTGTTATGTTTATCCCAGCATTACTGTCTGCCTATTATACTATCGGCTCAATTATTTTAAATTTGTTTTTTTGCGTAGTTTGTAGTTTTAACTACATTTTTGAAACAGTTCTGTCTTTGGCAGAGCTATAAAATCCCCACTTCTCAGTCAACCATCCGTGGTGACTGATGGTGATGAGTAGCAGCGTTAGCACCAGTGACTGCTATCCTGAGTGTAACATCACATTTAGCCTTTGCAGTGGCGTATTGACCCGCAGTAACAGATCGAACTCCGAGGAAATGAGCTCGCGACTCAAAGGTCACACTTTCCAAATCTGACTCGTACAGTAGCTGCAAAAATCCCTGCACTTGAAATCCCTCTCCAGCTGCCATTAAGGGCAGCGACCTCTGGGTTTTCAACCTTTAGCTGTTCCAAAGCAGAATGATGGCTTAGTGCGGGTAGTGGTGCGAGACAGTTCCAGGTGTGACTGTGCTAATGGGTGAATGCATGTGGCTCGTCCGAGCTTTCTATCCACTTCACCTAAGTCACTCATGCAAACCATGATGTGTTCTTTCTTAGCCACTGAACCGATGTAATCAGCCTTATGATAAATTTGAACTGCTGAGAATTGCTGGATTTCACGCTCATGGGCTATGCTAATCACATAGTAACTACTCTGGTTCCAGAAAATTCCCGTTCAAGATTTCTTCGAGTTTTGAATAATCCAAATGTTACGAGTTTTAACGCACAGTGGAAGCTAATTTAGTAACTGCTACCCACAGTGAGGTTGTTTTCAGCCCAAAAGCACAACAAAACATGTATATAGGAGGATTTTACCACATTTTAGGGAAGAACTTTTTCTCCACTTTTTGAACAAAACTTTCTGATCTCATTTGACGAGCACGTATCACCAGAATGATTGACTATTGGGAGGACCAATAGTCTCGATGATCTGGTCTTGAAAATCCCCCTATATACCTTTAAATAACTATAACTTAATTTTCGTTCACAACATAGCGGGTCAGCCCTGAACAATAATTTTTTCTAAACCAATCCCCTTCAGTCTCCTTATAATATATTATCTTGATATATTTATTATCTTCAGTATCACCTTATAAGTAAACCTGAGCTGTTCATGTTTCCTTAAGACCTTTTAAGCCATTCCAAGTCTTATTGTGATTTCCTAGTATATTGTGTATAGTGCTTGTGCTTCCTGTTGACAGAGGATAATAGTGCGTCCCTTTTGTGCTCTTTCTCCCTGCTTGGATCATGATGAGGGACCAGGGGACTGGCACATATGTATCTC